AACTATTTTATATAATTTACAGGTTTAATGTCATCTAAAGATTTGAGTAGAAAGATGGGTCTTTCAGAATCAGTAGTGAAATCTATCCTTCCTCAACTTCTTCATCAAGGATTTATTAGGAGAGAAGAAGGAAATCCTCCACTATGGTGTGCAGTTTCTCGTGAAGATAAAGAAATTGTAGAAACACATTTCTGGCCCAAGATCATAGAGGATATTATTAGATATCTGAAAACCACTCAAGATCCTGTTGGCACTTTTGATATTGCAGAAGCTATTGGATTTGCTAAAAAGAAAGAAATTAATCCTTTATTATGTAGTCTACAATTTAAGGGGATTCTGAAAAAGGTTACTGATATTCCACCAACGTGGAAGTTAAGTGATAAATATTTTAGTAAGAATTCTGATCTTAAAGGAAATGATCAGGTATCCAATGTAGATCAGGATGTTATAGTAACACCAGTGAATTCTTATGAAGATAAAAACAATCAAGAAAATAATTTGGATTCTGTGATTGATGAAAGAATGAGTACAATTGAAAATAAAATATTGCAGATGTTATCAAATAATTCAGAACAATCAATGGTTGCAAGTGATATAATTAAAGCATTTGGATGCTATTCAGAACAAGATGTTTTGGCAGCTTTACATCAAATGGAAAAGAAAGGAAAGTTGACAAAAATTGGCAGTGATCATTCGAAATGGTGTCTTCAATCAAATCATAATCCAAATTATGGAAGTTCTAATAGTTCACTTACTTCTCATGAATTGATTTTATTGAATCCATCTCTATATAGACTACCTGATAAAGATTCTAGTACAAATGGATATGAAGGAGAACATTCCAAATCTGTTAACTCATGGATAGACCCATCTGACTCTTCTAGTCATGAGAAAATTCATACTTCCACAACACTATATTTAAATGGACCTAATAAATCTTCCAGTGACATACAGATAAACAGTTCTGGACATGCAACTGATGAAAAAATTGAAGGAGGAACTGAGACACAAGTTTCTACGGCAGTGTCGAATGCTGTTACAAATATACTTAATGTTGAGAGTTTTGCTGCATTGATGAAAAACCCAGTCAGTGCATTTCATGAATATGGACAGAGAAATCGCATAGAAGCTAAAGTTGACATTGTTTCCTGTCAGGGACCATCCCATGATCCAAGGTTACTTTTTATTTTTATACTAAATATAGAATATAATTTTGAAAAGTTTTTGAACATGCAAAAAATTATTAATCTTCTACTTATTAATGGTTTTAATTTATTAAAAAACAAGTGAATTCACTTTTAATTATGAATATTCATAGAAAATTGTAAAAATTTATATATTTCAATAATTATAAGCCAGACTATAATTTTTATTAGCAACAAGTATTTTAATTTATGTAATTAAAGAAAAATTCAAAAAATATAGTCTCTTAATCACTCCAAAATCTTAATCCTAAATTAAATATAACTGCTATTATTCCCAAACACACTAGTGCTAAAACAAAAAATACAGGCTGATTTGCCTTCTCCCAATTCTGGGAAAAGTGTTCGATGGTCTAATGATTAATAGGATCACCTAGCATCTATTCAAGGGTAGAGCCCAGCATCAGAATCAGTTTGGTTTCTCTAAAAACAAAAATACCCTCTCGACTTATGATTACCACTCCTCCTATCAGCTTTCTACTGATGTTTACTTTGAAGATCTAGGTGATCATCCCATGTTTAGGGTTTACACTGAAGGTTCCAAGATGGATAGCAAAGCTTTTGTAGTTTACTCTGACTTGGCCACGAGCTTCACAATGCTTGCTTCCATCTATGTACTGGTACACACTGCTCAATAGCACAGGTGGAAACTTTAGCTATTTATATGAGCTTAATTCACATTAGGTGTAGAAAGGACAACAGACACTACTTACACTATTGCATTTATTCTGACAGTAGGGTCACTTTACACATTTTAATTGAAAGAGGGGAGGGTGCCTCCAGGTTCCACGCATAGGTATGACCTGGAAATTGGAGAAGAAAAGTTGGTGAAATGGGAGTGAGGGAGATGAAGGATAGGGGATGAAAAGGGAGTAAATTGGGGGAGACAGGTGAGAGTACATGGCATCTGAATCACAATTAATGAAAGCATAACAATACATATTACAGATAAAGAATTGACTAAAGTACATTGTTGTGCGCCAGACAGCAGCGAGTACATAAGAATGTATATGTATAAAGCTACAACATAAATATACATAATAATTAACATGATATGTACAGTGAGATTTCGCTTACAAGAAGCGTACAAAACAAGAGGACAAGAGAATTAACATCAGTAATTAACATGAAAGTGGAGAAAATTATACAATTAAAAATGGATAAATACAATAGAATACAATGGTAAGGTAAGGGTAAAAAAAAAAGTTAATTACTGGTGAGTGCTAACACAGCACACAGCAAGACAAGTCAGAGGTGCTGTATATAATAGGAAAAGCCAGTAATCTATACTGAGTAACAGTTTACAGAGGGTAGTACATTGCAGATAAGAGTAACAAAGATATACCTCATGAATGCATAAGAGGATTACAATTGGTGTTAGACATTGTACAAAATACAGTAGTGAAGATAAGTAGGTTAATCTGTGAGTAGGTTAATAATACACGAGTATAGAAAAGTAACACAAACATAAAGATTAGTGATGCATACAGAATGTTAAAGCCCGAAATTTACAATGGATTACATTCTAGATACATTCTAGCTTAAAGGGGATGAAGACCAGGGCCACTCGTAGGTATTGCCTGGTTTGAAATGGATTGAGAGGGAAAGAGTTAAGAGAAGAGGCAAAGGGGAAAAGTAAAGTGAGATAGGAAAGGGGATGAGAGTGGAAGTTTCATAAGCGTCAGTATCAGTGTTTTATTTAACAAAATACAAAATTGTTACATAAGTAAAAGGCACATTAACAGTATGACAAGATGCCCGTACAGAGGGTGTTACATAAGGAAACTGCAAACGGTGCAACAAGGGATATTTTACAGCAGCACCCTTTTGGGTGCGAGCGGAGGATATAACTTGGAGTTAAAAGTATAAAACCGAAAATAACATGAAACTAATCCCAACAATGAGATGTTACATTCAATTGTGAATAAAGGGGATGTAGGATTTAAGATCACAGCAGCACATTCTTTGCTGTTACAAAGTATAAAAATAGAACAATCTATATACACTAATTACAAAAAGACAAAGACACCAATCTTAGGTTTAATGCTTGACAAACAATTACTCAAAGGAGGCACGTACAAAATTTCAATTAATATTATTACGCACATCTAGAGCACCAGTTTCTTTTATAAATGAATACAGTTCTCTGAAGATGTTTTTGTTGTATACAAGAGCACTAGAAGCACATGGCCAATTATAGCCTTCTAGGAGAACAGTTTGGTATAACTTGGCTCGTTGCTGGTGATAGAGACGACAGTCAAAGATTAGGTAGAAAGTGTCCTGTTGTGAGGATCCATCACAGTTGCAAGTGGAGGTGTTGCTATGGTGAAATTGTTGGAGATAAGAGAGAAAGTTCCCGTGACTGGTGAATAACTGACTTAAAATAAAGTTCACTTTAAAATGTTCACTCTTAAGCCTAAGTGGGATGTTAGGAATCAGCTTGTTGGTGATTCGTCCTGTTGTCTCTTCCTCTCAAAGTCCCTGCCATATATTAATAGTTGTTTGTTGGATAAGCGTTTTTATCAAAACGATTGGAATGTCACGAAAACATGGTTCTGAAGAGCTGTTAGCTGCCTCTTTCACCCCTTTGTCTGCTTCTTCATTACCCTGTATTCCAGTATGGGCACGTAGCCATTGAAAAGCAACAGTATTTTTATTATTTGCTAGTTCTTCTGAGATTTGGCGAAGTAAGCTGTTTTTATTTTTATTGTTTGAAATACTAAGAAGAGCAGTTCTACTATCTGAGCAGATGCTTACATGAGTATTGTTGATTTTGACATTGCTATTAACATATTGTAAAGCCTTTAGGATTGCCAAAAGTTCAGCTTGCATGATTGAGCAATGGGTTGCCAGCCGGTAAGTTTCCTTATGAATTTGTCTGTTCCTGTTCTTTTTATAGTGAATGAAAGCTGTCCCCACACCTTTGTTAGATTTTGAACCATTCATAAATATTGTATGAGGGAATTCAGTATCTTCATTATTCGAGTAAACATTCATTTTAATTTCTTTCGCCGGATGAAGACGAGGTGGAGCAATATTCCAAATGTCTGTATTCAGGTTCAGCTGGAAAAGATTGTTGATGTTCAAGTTAGGAAGGCTACCAATATCTGAATAAGTGTACAGATCCTTTTTCTTTTGATCTGGGATGTTGAGGTTTGTCAGCTTTCAGAGTGCCCAATTAGCTTTAGCTTTTAAATATAGCGGTGGGAGACCCGCCAGAACCTGGAGAGCAGCTGTAGATGTTGTCTTGTACGCTCTTGTTATATGTAAAAGACTAATTTTTTGTATTTTTTGCAGTGCCCTTTTTATATGAGTTTTTGTAGAGACATTTCCCCATATGGGGGATCCATATAGTATTGTTGGTTCTATGGCTTGATTGTAAATATTGGTCAAGGTAGTGCTATTCAAGCCCCACTTTTCCCAACGTAACAAAGGAGGTGAGATAATTTTGTTGCCTTCATACAAATGTAATCAATGTGGGAATTCCACTTCATGCCCTGGTCCAGGATAAGTCCAAGATATTTAATTTCCTTTGTGTATGGTATTCTAGAATTATTTTTTTTTAATGATGGCAGTTTCTGAAGCTGTTTACCTTTGGTTATGAGCATGCAACTTGACTTATTGATGTTTATTTTGAGCGTATTGTTTATGCTCCAGTTGTTTACTTTTTTTAGTAAGTTATTAGCTTCAGTTTGCATTTTCTCGCTATTCCTATGTGCCATCATAATCAGAGTATCGTCAGTGTATGCTTGTAATGACCATTGTGCATTTATATTATTAGGCTTGATGTACAGAAGGCTATCGTGCATGATGTTCCATAATCCTGGACTGGAACGAGATCCTTGGGGGCAGCCTCTTGTCATGGGTTGTATAAGTGGACTATCCATGTCGTATACACCAACCATACGATTATTAAGGTAATCCTTCATTAATAGATATAAATTTTTTGGGCACTGGAATGATTTAAGCTGTCGAAGTAATGTTGGCCACCAAAGAATGTTAAAGGCATTATGATAATCAATAGAAGTAAGGAGGACATGATGTGATTTTTTCCAGGCATCATGAATAAATTGAGTGACACTGTGTAAGGCATGATTAGTAGATTTTTTGGGAAGAAACCCCATACTGTTTTGGGTGTAGTAGTAGTTTACTGTATAAGTGAAAGTTGATTCTTCCTATAACAAGTCCATCCAAGACTTTCCCGAATGTGGGTAGTAAGCTTATTGGTCTAAAGTCATTGGCATTGCTATGGCTGGTTTTGCTTGTCATTGGAATAAAATGGATGGCTGCAGCTTTCCAGATGCATGGGAATTGAGAGAGCTCCATACACTTACTGTATGTATAAATGAAAGCGATCGATAAAGCATTAAAAGCCTGCTTCACCATTTTAGCTGTTATTGTATCTATTCCTGGAGCTTTTTTGTTTCTCATAGTCCTTATTGCTGTCTCAACTTCTTTAAAAGTAAAAAGGGGATCGTTGTTTGTTGCTGGCAGAGCTTGAATTGAGTTTCTGATGCTTGCCTGTTCTTCATTGTTGTTTTCTTTGTCGTCTTTTGGAAAATGAGTGTTGAGAAGATGGTGGTAGGTTTCTCTCATGTTCGTTGTTCGTGTTCCATCTTATTTGTCGATGTATGCTGGAAGTATGATATTTTTCCTTGGTTTTAAAATTATATGGTACAGGTCACTCCATGTTGATCCATTGCCAATTTCAGTGCAGTAATTCCTCCACGCTATTGTTCGGGTTTTATTTATGCTAGTTTTGTATTCGTTAAAATCCCGTAAGTATTCCTTCTTTTTTGTCTCTTTAATTATAGGATCATTTTCTTTTTGGTATCTTTTGTATAACCCACAAACCACCTTCCTCTGCTCACTCAAAGAATTATTCCACAATGGGGTGTTTGATCGTTTTGATTCTATAATTGTAGTGGATTGATGGTAAGAGGTGATAATTGATGTGGTAAGGTGGGCAGCTA